TTCTTTTCTTTTTTTTTTATTTTTTATTTTAGGGAAGGGTCTACAGGGTGATCAGGGTCTCACCTGAATACTAGATCGGATTCATAGTGATTCTGTTTACAGCCTCCCAAGAGTTGGGATTACACCATCACACCCAGTCTCAATTGCCATCTCAGTGCATCCCGGGGGCAGGGCCAGCATGGCATGTCAGGGATCAAACCCCCAACCCCTGCGCCTGTTTGCAGGCGCTTCAATCCACTAAGCTATTTGACCAGGTGAATGGTCAAATTTCTGCTATGAATGTCCTACTCTTATTCTTCATCACAGCTTTTTCAATTTTTTTTTGGGGGGGAGGGGGCAGCCAGCTCAGTCTGCCCTGCTGGCCAAGCTGGCACAGCATGTTGTGCTGGGGATCAAATCACGGTCCCCACACTTGCCTAAGCAGGCACTTTAGTCCTCTAAGATATCTTGCCAGCCCCCAACTTTTTCAACTTTTTAACAAAACCTCCAACCTGAACTCCCTTAGTAATTATATATATTCAAATGTCTATAATAACCTAACAATTCTTCCTTAAACAGCTCACAAATTCCATCATTTCTTAGAATTCCAAAATATTTTCTTATTTCAGTAAGTAAAATGGCAGCACTGAAATATAAATTCTGGTGAAAATTCAATTAGACATTCAAGGGTTGGCATTTGTTTTCTTTGGCATGATCAGTAAATTAGACTAGGAGACCAATTTCTTTCCATTTTGGAACATATATAAACTTTCCTCACCATGTGTTATTGTAATACATAAAAATTATTTGTTCTAATGAGTTCTCTTCAATGACCGGAAGTCTCTTGTAATAATATTAGTATTAATCTGAGGTAGATATTTAATAACTTTTGTTGCACTGCACAGTCAGCTCAGTTATCTAGAAAAGCAATATAATAATGTAAAATACCAGAGGATACAAAATTATTTATTTCTATGACTAAATACTGAAATGAATATCTGAATACTGAGTGATATCACACATAGAAGTTTTTATGTTTTGCTTTTTGGTGTATGCTGGGGAGGGTCTTACTATGCACTTCAGGGTGGCCTTGAACTCACTTTATAGTTTAGGCTGGCCTCAAATTCACAGCAATCCTCCTGCCTCAGCCTCCTGAATGCTGGGCTTATAGACATGTACCACCACTCCTGGCTTTATAAGTTTTTAATATTGAAAAACAAAATATGAAACTTTCATAAGAAGCTTTTACTTCAAAAATTGATACCAATTTTCTCATTTTACTCATTTCATTTTAGGGAGCCATCTACTTTGACTACATCAATAAGAAAATCTAAAAACACTTCTCTCTTCTGAAGCTTGTATTCTAAGGATTTTTTTTATTTATTTTTTTTTTTTTTGGTATTGGGAATTAGACTTAGGGGGCAGGTGCCATGACACTGAGCTATATACCTGGCCCTGAAGCTTGTATTCTAGAAGGAAGAAACAAGCAATGAATATAATACATAAATTATAAGATAGGTTAAAAAGTAGTGAAATAAAGATCTGCTTGTGTTTCTTCAGAGGAGCTCCAGTCTTTGCCTTCTCTTTGGACAGCATCTCCTGGCTTCCAGCACAGACTCTTCAGCTTCTAGCTCAGATCCTTTCAGCCCTCCAGCCTAGATTCTTTAGCCTTCTATCACATACCAATAGGCCTCCTTATACAGATTTGCATGGGACACTGCCGTGAGCTTCAGACCTCAGGCTCACTCCTTTGGTCTCTGGTGTGCAGACAGACCCTCTGCACTCTTCCTCATCTGACCCTGTGAGTGGCCACTGTAAGCCAATCTTGTAAATGCTTCACATCTGTGTATCTTGTGTTATATCTGTTTCTCTAGTAAAACAATGACTGACACACTCTGGATAACGCTATTTAAGTCACAAGAAGAATGACCATCACCTACAGACTTTACATCTTCACAGGACAGTTGTATTATGTAAGGTAGGAGAATGACCTTGTTATTATCTTCATTTGAAGAATGGTATTCGTTTTCTAGGGCTTTCATAACAAAGTACCACAAATAGGGTAGCTAAAACGACAGAACATGACTTAAGGAGAATCAGTTTGGCTACTGGCTACAGAACAGATTACAAATTAGAATACCAAAGCTAATCTAGACAAGACATAATGGTGATATGCACCAGAATAGTAGGAAGAGATGCTGTGAATACTGTCACATTCCTTATATACTGTAAACATAGAGCCAAGAGGATTTATTGATGAACAAGATATATAAACTTAAGAGAAAAATGATATAGTGAGATTCTTGTCCTAAGCAACTGAAAAGAAAATGAGGTTGCTATTTATATTATGAGAAGACCCAAGGAGGGAAGGGGTACATATGTTCACTTTGAGACGCCCCTTAGACAAGTGAATGGAGATATTGAGGAGACAGCTGAACATGCAGATGTGGGGTACAGGTAGAGCATCAGGCTACAAATGTAAACTGTAAGTCAACATATTTAGTAGATGGAATTGAAAGCCATTAAGACTACATGACATATTCTTGGGAATCTATGTAGATATAAAAGAGGACTGACTCAGTTCAGGGACCTGTGTTATGCAAATATTTAAGGATCAATATTTATAAAATGAATGAATAATGAGTCTTGATTTTTGGTTTCTTTTTTTTTTTTTTGTATTTTAGGGAAGGTTCTACAGGATGTTCAGGGTTTCACTACTAGATCAGAGTCCCAGTGATCTACCTGTTTACAGCCTCCCACGAGCTGGGATTACAGGCACGGGCCACCATGTCCAGTCTCAACTGCCATCTCAGCACAACTCAGAGGTGGGGCTGGAATGGCAGGCCCAGGAATTGAACCCCCAGCCACACTTTAATCTGCTTAGCTATTTGTTGGTTTCCAATTTTGAGAATTAGTCCTTATTACTACTATATGTAAAGGTAGAACACCGCATTTAAAAAGGCACAAAGGGGGCCTGGCCCTAGCTCAGTTCTTTAAGTGGCTGCTTCCACCAACCTGTCAGCCCCAGGTGGCTCTAGTTTGAACCCCACAACTCTCCAGCCAGCCAAACAAGCCCTGAGGGCATTCGGAGAAAAAAAAATCTGTAAAAAGGCACAAAGCAGAAGTCATAACATAACTAATTTAAAAAGAAGCTGGAAGAAAGTATAACATTAAAGATAAATGCCTTAAATTCCTCATCTTTGATAATAGGGAGTTAAGAGGTACTGCTAATAACAAATATCCTGGAAGGAGAGGTGATGGAAGGATAAATTCACTAATCTCTCCATATTCCAGAGGTGAAAAGAAAAAGATGTTTAAAGATAATACAGGTAGGTTGGCTGGGGAGATGGCTCAGTGGAATAAGTGCTTCTCTGGCAAGCACAAGGGCCTGAGTTCAATACCTGGTTCTGCCAAAAAATAAAAAAAAAAAAAAAAGATAATACAGGTAGGAACATGAAAACGTATTTTTTAAGGTTAAACAAAACAAGCAATAGTGGTAGGCAAGAAGCAAGCTTGAGGAAAAGAAGTCTCCTCTACCATTTTAAGTTTCTAAAATAATATATAATGTTATTTAATATAATAATTTAAAAGTTTAATAATGCTTTTGTTTGAACATTATTACAACCCTGAGGATTCATCACTCGAAACTGTTCATCTAAAGCCAGGCCTACGTTCTAATTTAAATGTAATTAGTTGTTACAGCTTAAGAGTCTGTTCTCTCTTGTGTTAGCAGTACTCTAGATGCTGGAGAACAAACAGTTCTCCTTGGTGTGTACACTTAACCTAACAAACTACCTACAAAAATTATTATTATTTAAAAAATTCCTTTCTTATTTGGGCTTCAAGTGTTATTTCAGTCATAGAGAAAAGAGAAATGACAACTAGTAACTACAGCTAATAGCACTA